TTCACTGCCAGGTTCAACACATACAGTGTGTATAGAAAACAGTCATTGTCATGGCTGATAAGAAGTATTATTAATGTTTATTTACTATGAAATTCACTGTACGTTGTCTGCTTTCTTTCTGTCTCTGCTTTTATATTTTGCTATCATTATATAATTTGATTCTGATAAGTACTTGCTGAGGGTATAATCTTCTGCTACCTTCCACCATGCTCTTTCTGCTCTGTGTGTGTGTGTGTGGGTGTGTGTGATTGTGTGCTTGCATGTGTGTGTGTATGTCAATGTGTGTGTGTGTTTCCTCCCTGGGGAACTGAGGCTGAAGTAATGAAATGCTCATTACTGATTCAGCTGGAAATGCTTGGGATACATTTACACGCCTACACAGACACACACACACACACACCAGCTATCCAGACGCTTTTCAAGGTCACCTCGCATCATTTGCCTGTGTGTGTCGGTGCGTCTGTGTGTGTCAGTGAATGTGTGCTGTATACACAAACTGAGGAGCAACAAGATTGGGCATAATTGGGGCCTAAATTGACAGTTCTGTACTATACACCGTAGGCGTCTGATATCAGACACCATCATTAATGCGCTCCTTCTTTCTCATTCTCCGTTTCACACACACACACACCTCGCACACATACATATTCACCTTTGCTGTCAGTTCACTTTCCAACTTTCACTCATCAGATCATGCCTCCCTGACAGCCTCTCCATCCACACGGACAGACAAACCCGCACATTTGATCGACCTGAGGTTGCCATCTGCAGCCAGACAAGACAGTACAAATGCTCGTCCTCTTTGTCTAACGCATCCAAATGGATTCATTCAGCTCTGCCTTACACACAGGTCAGGCTGATCAAAGCATAACTAACATGTTTCTGTGACGCACACTGTGTTTATGGGCACACACATGCGGCACACACACGGTACTGTCTGGTGGTATTAGGAAGAAGCTGTGTTGTCAGGAGGGTTTTGTTTCAGATGGCTGAATGGAGGAATGCATGAAAGAGAATTAAACACAGTTATGCTGACGTTTGGTTATTGGCTTCTCTGGAATGGATGCTTTGGTTTTTTTACAGGCAGGAATGCTAAAGTCTGAACATCACAAAAGATTGAAAAACCACAGATGCATTTTTGCATGATTGTGAAGTATGTTTTATCTTTATGATACAAAAATGTATTAAAAAAAAGTGTGCACATCACACAGATGGGCACCTAATGAAAGTTTGCACGTAATCATCTCTAACTAATAAAACAACTAACCAATTAAAGGTATGATTTTATATTTTATATTATGTTGTTTGTTGGTACACTCCTATACAAAGTGGGTACATTATTTAAAAGCCATTGTAGATTTCAGCTTTAAAATGAGACTTCAGAAAATATCCTTTGGACTCGGGCAAATAAAAACAAGCAAATATGTACATATTGTAAAGGGATAAATGTGTTTTGTAAAATGTATTTTTATATTTCTATCGTGTGGTCCATGGTTGTTTTCTTGCTTTTCTAAGAGCATTGCGTTGCATTACCAATGCTCTTTCATGTACACTTAATGATCTGGGTCCTCCTCTTACACAGAATGGGATGGATGCACCTAGCCAGCCATCATTTCAAAAGTTAGCCTTCTACAGTGAATAATACGGTGTGACAGTGTAAAACAAGCAGGCCTACTGCCCTTTGTCAACTATCGTTTATGCTGGCTAACTATACCCGAGGCATAAAGGCATTATGCACAGAGTGCTTAATTTGTGTGTCATGTAGACATTGTGTATTTCACCGGAGGGTGGAAGGGAGTCAAGAAACAGAGAGTCAAGCTGGCGTTTGTCCGACTGATGATCCAACTGTGTGACACTGAGAGGGCAGCTCTACCATAAATAGAATCTTCTAGCTTTCTTCTACTAATTTCACCCACTGCCTTTTTACTCAAAACATATTTTCACCAAATCCCGAATATTAGCCTTAGAAATCTTTGTGTTTTTGTGTGTGTGCTTGTGTTACTCATGTTGTGTGGACATGAATCTGTTTATTTAGTCTCATTGTGTGGACCAACCTGCCTTTTAGGGACATACGGAAATTCCCCATAGCATAAATAATTACATTTTAGACTGAAGACTTGGTTTACACGAGGGTTGGGTTAGAGTTGGTCCAGTATTGGTTACGCTTAGTGTTTGGGTAAATCTGCAGGAAATGAATGTTAGTCAATATGATGTCCTCTGAAGTTGCGGAAACACAGTATGTGTGCTTGTGTGTGTGTGTGTGTGTGTGTGTGTGTGTGTGTGTGTGTGTGTGTGAGATGCACTAAACGCTTGGCAGCCAGTCTGTTTCCTGTGGGTCACCACAGCTCTGATTTATGGCTCTGCTCCACCTGCTTGGCACCCTTACTGTCACCCCTGGGTGAACACTTCGCTTGAATCCAATTCCATTTTTATCTTATTATTTTTGAAAAGTATCTAAATTACAAGCCGATGGTGAAGAGGACATATTTATTTGCTTGGAAACGAGGGAACGATGAATCACTGTCCTCGTGTTTTCAACAGCCTTCCTCTTCAGCCACTACAGTACATGGTGACCATTTGTGTCCCTCCTTGTAAACTGTCAGCTCAGCTCCTGTGGGGATGCAAACTGTGCATGAATGGAGCTGGTAGCTGTTCATATGCTGGACGGCATGAACAGGGCTGAAACTTCTGGCTGATCTGCGATAGCACTGACCTGGATACTGCAAATTCACTGACAGGATCCTTCAAATGTCACTCCTGAATTCTTATTATCGCTCCCTCTCACACAGACACACACACACACACCCTCCCTCACTCATCACTCATTGCAGCAAAGGTTAAACTACCCCATGAGTGGTATTGTTCATCACTCATCTCTTGCTGTGTGTGTCTATGTGTGTGCACGTATTTCCAGCCAATCTGCCATATGTGACATGTTCTGGATTGTTGCTAAGAGACAAACATGCCGAAGGGCATGTAGGAGGAGCCTGCGTGTTGCGACCCGCTTCAGAAGACACATGCACGCACACAAACACACAGAAGGACGTGCATATGTGCATACAAAGCAACTGGGGTGACACTGACTTCAGCAGTTCAGTCTAATTATGGAGCTCAATGAAGGAATTGTTTGAACCATAGTTGACATTTCATTGACTAAACAATCTATAGTTTGACCTGTTGTTTAAATGACAGCTAATATGTTGATATTGGAATTGATTGCTAATGGAAGTGATCAGTAGTTGCTGCACTGCTGTGTCTGTGACGGTGGCAGCGTTTCTAGAGTGTGACTGTGTTTTTATTTTGTCAGCGGGGGGAGGTATTCAGATTGTTACCTTCAACAATACTGCAGCGTAAGTCGATGTTACTTTGATATGTAGCTCCCACCTAGATATTGCTCTGGACCCTCATGGCAACAGCACTCCTTAATGGCTTCCTCAGCAGAACATTGTGCTTCAACTACACCAAACCTGCTCAGATACAGCTTGAGGAACATGACTGAGACCAAAGCATTGGCCCAGCCTTCAAACACCCAAGATAGCAATCTGATTGTTGACTGTGCAAAAATGATGATGTCCTCCTTTGCGAGCCGGTAAATGCCAGCAAAGTGCAGGCATTATTTTTATTGGTTTTCATTATAGGCAAAAAATTCGCTAACGATGTTGACCCATATTACATTTTTATGCCAATATCGGGCCAATAATATAAGTGGGCCGATATTATCGGACATCCCTAAATACGACCCAGTTCTGTTCCCTAAACAGGTTCAAACCAGATGTGACTCAAGGTTTTCAATTCTGATGGGAACAGATGGACACAAAACAGACCACACACACACACACACACACACGCACACGCGCGCGCACACACACACACACACACACACACACACACACACACACACACACACACATTCATTTGCGCAGCTATGAACCCAGTGTCCCTTATTGCTCCATGCTGCTATTTGTCAAGAGAGCACAATAAAGGACAGATGCCTGCTTGGTAAACATTCTGCTCTGAGTAAATCATCTAAATCATCAGCACAGACACAGTCTAAAACAAAAACATATCATGCATCTAGCATACTTTTTTTAATGCGGGACAGTATTGATGTCTTGTTTGTTCATCCATGTTTATTTGTGTATATATATATATATATATATATGTATATATATGTATGTATTTCCTGCTTTCTTGTTATCTGTCATATGATGAGATCTAATAGTTGTGTGAGTGTGTGAACATAAATGAAATCACCTCATTCCTTAGCAACTGAAAGAGCCTCTTTGTCTATTGTGCTGCAGGACAATGTGCATTGTAAGAGACTGAATCAGATTTCTTCCCAGGCAGGTGTGTGTGTATGTGTGTGTATGTGTTTGTGCCAAGATATTAGAGAGAAAGAGCATGTTGTGACTGAGTGTTTTTGTGACAGAGCAGGTGAGTACGAAAACGTCTCAGGCTGATGTGTGTTAGGTGTGTGAGTGTGTGTTTCGCCGGCGGCACAGTCTGTCTCCCTGGTGTCCTAATCCACTCATTTACCTGATTTTCTCCCAGGAGAAGTCTGCATGTGAAAGCGTTAAAGCAGCTGGTTAAGTCCAGCCGCACACCCAATAAATGAAGCAACGCTTTGCACATCTGTGCGTGTGTAAGTGTGTTTATGTGTGTAAGGTAACAGCATTCACACTGTGCGAAGCTGTGGGTGGGTGGGGTGAAATCCATAAATCTTTCAGGTCTAAACAACAACAAAACAGCCATAAATAATGCAACATTTTGTGCAATCATGAGGCTAAAAGCAGAGACAAAAATTACTTCCACAAATCTTCTCTCTTAATTTTTGTTTTTTGTTAGAGATTGCAAAGGCCCAAACATATTTTTGTTCCTTTAATTGATCTTTTCAGACGTCTTAAGTCTCTTAGATGAGAACTCATAGCTAAGATTCTACAGTAAGTTATTTTTTGTGCTGTTATAATACTATATATCATCATATTTTTGCATCTGTTCAGGTGACGAGACGGGTGACGCACCTAGCGGTCGTAGTCCAGGAACCAAGGATGTGGCTCCTCCTCTTCCTCCTCGTCGCCCAGTCCCTCCTCAGCACCTCTCACCTCCACAGGTCGGTACAAAACTTGTGAAGACAGTTCAGACAATAAGTAAACATCCGGGTTTCCCCAAGAAACTGGTAAGCAGACGTGGCAGTAGCTCTTACCATGTTTTTAGCACTTCAGATGCAATCAAGATGTCCTTTAGCGTGAGAACGGCTTGATGCAGGTTTGTGATTGAGGATGTACGAGGCAGCAGGAGAGAGGCAAATCCCACACACCAACACATGTGAGCGCACAGAGAAAGAGGGTTATTCGATAAGATCGGTTTTTGACAACCATATCGATTTTTTGCCGACTTCCATGCAGCATTTGGGACGGATCTGTGGTTGCGTAGCTGATTCTGCAGCCTGAATCTCTGACTGTTTTCCAATACTTTTCAGTTTATTTCACACCCCCACTTTTTTCCACAACATTGCAATGAGCTGCTCTGATTAATTACTGAGAAGTCAGCGTACAGCGTGATCGATTAGGCCGTCACCTGCTGAGCTCTATCAGACAGATCCTGATGCAACTTGATATCAATATAGTTCCGAGATGACAGTTTAAAAAGTTGCCTCACTCATTAAATTCTGTGTGGGCTACTTGCTGTGTGATGTAGCACCACAGCTTGTTTTCCTGGAACACTAATAAGTGAAAAAAATGTATAATAAGGTAAGCATATTTCATAAAATGTTATAGTTCTCTTTATTTCAAGCGGTAAACACTACAGGAAACAGCATTAATTATGCATATACAGAGGGGGGAGTGGGGCATGTGGCTGCATCTCTGTTACACATGAACACTCAAAGTTTGTTTGTCAGACCCACAGTTTTTATACAGTTCCAACAAATTCGTAATTGTGCAACTTGCTATAAAAAAAAGTCATTTTGAAAGCATCAAGTGTGACCTATATACTCTGGCTGGATTGTGTTTGTTGACGTACGATTTATAAATATCCACGCATCTATCCGTCCACCATTTAACCATCCATCAATCGTGGATGGAAAGATCGATACATAGATGGATAGATATCCGTACAGATCACATTATCCATCATCTATTGGTCTGTCATCGACTGATGGAAGTAGATAGATGGAGTATATTCACAACAGAGTCTCCATCCAAATGTCAAAACATACATGAGAATGACGTTTTATAAAACACGTTCACAGGGCGCCACTATAGTTCACCTGGCTGAGCTGGCAGCCCATGTTCAGGGGCTATGATCCCCAAAGCAGAGGTCATGAGTCCCACTCATGGCCATTTCCTGCAGGTCCTTTTCCCATTCTTCTCCCCCATTCTCCTGTCTCTCTCTTGACTTTACTATCAAATAACAGCAAAAAAGCCACAAAAAAATTTAAAAAACACACATTCACTGTTCACCCAACATTGTTTGGGAGCAAAAAGTCCAATGGAGCTCAATTTCATTGGTCAATGTCTCTTTCTGTGAAAAAAGAAAAGTTATGAGAATCAGTCGCTTTGATTTAAACATCGTTGCACACTGAGGATGATTTAGTTGTACCACTGTGTTACACCTGAGTTTTGTTGAAGCCGAACACATTGTATGAGTTGGTTACATGTTTTAGGCAACAAGACAGTTACTAAGATAATGACAGGTTGAATTCTCGAACACACAACTCATTAATCGAGTACGATAAAGACACTGACCTGTGCACCATCTTTACAGAAACACATTCAAACTTTGCAGAAATAAGTGTGAGTCATCTGTCAAAGTGGTGAACTGACCAGACACACACCCTGTTTAACGCTGTGTAGCTACATACAAGCTGTGTGTTACGTTTAACGCTGCCCTGCACACCCCATATGTTCACAAACGTACACTGATGCACACATGCATATAGTGCTGGTGTTTTATCGGAGGTATAATTGCGTATCTTGATGCGTGTTCCCCGTCAGGTGGCTGTTCATGGCTCGGCCCAAGCAACGACGGTTGGACCTTTGACCCTGGCGACCCTGCTGCTGCTACTGCTGTCGCCATGGGAACCACGCTGACCGTGAAGAGACGCATCCAGAGATGGACAGAGACAGAAAAAGGTTGACAGGCAGCCACATGCTGTATGTCATGTGGCAACGATGACTATGTGGAGTTTCTGTAAGCGCAGTGCGACCGCTCAGGCCGTTTTTGTTTTGGGTGGCGATGCTGGCGGGACGAGCTGCTGGTTCACCACAGCTGCAGGTGCACAGTATGCATTGTTGTATTACCTGTACTGACCTCTACATGTGTTCATTTGTATTTAACTCTGATAGGATAGATTGCACAGCACTACTGACTTTTTTTTTTTTTTTTTTTTTGAAGAGAGATGTAAATACAAATATATATATTATATATTTATATAAAGAATTTCTATAGATAACAATGGGCTGATGTGTAAATAAGGATTAATATAGAACAGAGCAGACTTGGACGTTAAGGGATTTTGGTTTGGTTTGTTTGTTTTGACCTTTATCAGACGGGTCTCCCACTGAGATCAAAGTCCACGACAGTGACGGTTCGAGCTGAAGACCTTCACCGTTAACACACCAGCGTACCTGCAGTGAAGGCACACTTGTGAGGATTTATTAATGTGACAGAAAGAGGCTGGGAGAGGACATTGAAGCACTTTCTTAAAAGGCAAAACAACCAATAATGTGATACTTCAGACACATTTACAGATGGTCATGCAGCATAATGAAGATGACCCATCTCGCCATCTCCCCACACAAACATGCTCTTTTGCTAATGCAAGCCGGATGACTTTTTTTTAATATATATTTTTTTCTATTTCTGCAGCAAGTGCGATGAGTTTTAGCTGTGTAACACTTCGCTCAAAAACTCTGTGTCCTCTGCTGATTTGTCATTTCAAGGCATATGTGTGTTCTTGGAAAAACTAGCCGAGACTGTTTTCTTCTCAAGATGTACAGTGTGAAAAATTTGTAAAAGCACTGCAGGGAGATGTACAACAGCTTTCAATTCAACTTCACTTACACTTCTTCAACAGGACGCTCTGTTAAAAACAGGAATACAGGCAGAAACAAGCACTCAGTGCAAGAAAAGAGGCAGAAACAGTCACCTGCCTAATAATGAATACTTTGATATCTCATCGTCATGTGTAAAAACTGAACCGTGCTTTTAAAGGCTCGCTCGTCTCCAAGTATATATTAATTGAAACTGCTGTCTCCTCTAATAAGATCACGGATAAAACATCCAACAAAACAGTGTATTGTTAAGTGTTTCCTCTAAGTCTGATATCTGTTGTGATCAGAGAACAGCTGAGCCCAGATCCAAACATGTGGAATAAATGTGATTCATATTAATTAGGATTATCGAATCCTCCTGAGCTCTCTGTTGAGCCCCCCCCCCTTTCCATCCCCTCCCCCAGACTGCACACAACAGCAGGACAGACAACTGGAATACTGATTAAATACACTCAAAGGGTGCAAATGAACCGACAGAAGGACACGGTGTGCGTTTCTGTCAGCGGGTGATTGGTTGTCTCCCTCGATATACCGTGCTGCATGTAATACCTGCCTGTTTCCTTGTGGTTTCACATCGTAGCTACAGTCATTTTTGTCTTTGATGATGTGCTGTAAAACTTTTTAAGAATGTGTCTGCTTTCATCACCTGACACGGTTTATTTATGAGGGAACGTGACTGACACATGAGACAACCTAAGAAATACCATTAAGAGCTTATGTTTGTGAGTTGTCTGGGCAGCGTGCCCAAATACCATGTTAGCCAGCGGGGTGCTTTTACAACATAATCTCCCAACAAATGTGCTATTATTTGATTACTATTTCAGCGTTATACCTAAATGAGATGAGATTTTGGACCGGGGCCAGGCCTTCCATCTTTCTCAGCTCCTGCTAGGCGACCTTGTGCGTAAACAAACTGTCAAATGCACATGTGGAGACCCTGAACAGGATGAGTAGAAAGCACACAGTGTTTTGTGCTTTCTCAAACTATGGGGCAACCAGCGTGACATGTTTTGAAGGGGATTCTAAAATGTAAAAAAATATATATTTTCATATATTTTATAAGCTTATAAAGTCTGTTTTAATTTTTGTCACAAAAACTAAAAACAATTAGGAGTTGGTATTCTGTGGTTGCTCACCTGCTGCAGTTATGAATCTATAAACGAGTTGCAGCAACAGTACTTTCAACTATGTGTCACAGTGTCATTATTAAATAAAAATCTACCTTATCCAAGTTTAACAGCTCTATTAGTTTAGAGAGCCTCTAATGTTTTTGTCGTTGTGTAGCAGTATGCAGGGCGCCAGGACGCAACAACCAACCTGTTAGCTACAGCTGTGGTTTCTCTCACCACACTCTGAAAACAACCGAGCTGATGTAAAAAACTAAACCAGTAACTCCGATGTGCGACTCACTACTGTAATACGCTGCGTGTCCTGCTACTCTGATGTGTCGTTACTCACCGGTTTGATATCCTCGAATAATAAATTGTGTTTTGAAATACGTATTGCGCTTTTGTCCTTTTGTGTACAGTGTGAACGTCTCAGTGGAAGACGCAACTGAAACAGATGTGTGAAGTGTTAGATGGAAAACCGATGAATGCAGCCACATATTAAGGCAGCCAGTTCGTGAATTAACCCCTTAAACCTCCTGCGCTGTTCCCACCTGACAAAACATCGCCGAGTTCAGCCGGTAACAGCTCAGCAGCTAAAGCCAAAAGGAACAATGATGGCCTCTGGGTGACTTGGATGAATGTTGTAATACAATAAGACTCCTTGTTCCAATCACCAGGACAGAGTGAGATGTGAAAAACTCAAACCTGTGTATTTACACTGATGCTACCGGGTCTGTTCTAACACGTTTTAATAGCAACTCTACCAAATGTGACATCTTAAATATTTTAAATTTAAAAAAATAACATGGTAGGAAGGGCTGCAGGGTGGTGCAGTTGGTAGCACTGTTGCCTCGCAGCAAGAAGGTTGCCAGTTCGCGTCCTGGTGGGGGCACCGGAATCCTTCTTTGTGGAGTTTGCATGTTCTCCCCGTGCAGCGTGGGTTCTCTCTGGGTTCTCCGGCTTCTCCCACACAGTCCAAAAACATGTTGAGGTTAATTGGTGATTCTAAATTGTTCGTAGGTTTGACTGTGAGTGTGCTTGGTTGTCTGTCTCTAAGTGTGGCCCTGTGACAGACTGGTGACCTGTCCAGGGTGTTCTCTGCCTTCACCCTAAGTCGGCTGGGATAGACTCCAGTCCCCCCGCGACCCTAGTGAGGATTAAGCGGTGTATAGATAATGGATGGATGGAACATGGTAGGAAATTGAGGTGCTCCTATATTTGCACATGGCCCCTTTGAGTTTCTTTTAAGCTGCAGTGGCATATGCATCGGCAAAAATAGTCACAGCAAGAGGCACTTTGACATTTGGCTTCCCCTGGGATTCAAACCTTAGTCTCCTGAGGTGAAGTTCTTGTTAGAGAAATTGTCTTTTCTCCGCGTGTTCGATTTTAAAGATGAGACAAGATTCAGCTCGGTCTCAATTAATCAATTTAATTACATGCTGAATATTGCATTACAGAGCTCTGGGTCAAACTCTCCCTGGCATCAGACAGAGTAAGACTAACTTACCCGCCCAGCTTGTATCTTTTATACATCCATATTACCCCTATAATTATCACAGTTGTTTTTTCCTCTTCGTGTGTTGCTTATCTATAGAAACCAGCAGTCCATGTTCACTCCTTCAGGTTCACTCCTTCGTCCTCCCAGGAACCACCTGTTCTGCACCTTTTCCTTTGTTAACAACAACTCAGTTCTCTTCCTTTTCGCAGCAATCCTCCCCACGATCATCCCTTGATGTCCTCATCTGATTCCGACACTTTGGTCCTTCGGACCTCCCTCTTCCAGGGCGCAGTCCCAGTTCCACTGAGGTCTCTGCCCAGGTTCCCCTGGATTAACAACTCAGCCTTCTGCTTCCCGGTGTTTTCTTTTCAAAGACACTGATCACAGAAGCACTACTCGCCTACTAACTCATTCGGTTTCGGCTTGTAGTGGCCTGACTGTACATTGAGCCGAGCGCGGCGGCCATCAACATGGTCTTACTGCCCTCCTGCGACCCGACCGGCCGGTGACCCAGTCGATAGCGATCCCCAGTCCATGGAACAGGACCCCGTAATGGTTATTAGCCACCCGGTTGGGAACCGACGGTCTGATCCCTACCCCACTTCGCTATGGGCTATAGGAACTTTGACCGTTTTCACCAGCCTTGCCTGTTCACAGAGGTCACCTCTTGCGCCCCTCTGCTAGGTGTGGGCCGTCACCCACGTACCACGCCTGGCCTACACACCTACATGCGACCAGTGCGCCGACTAGACGGTACCACGGCAGTATGTTCATTCATACTTCATCAGACACGGGGGCCTTCAGTCCTCTCCCCAGCACTATACACAATCTTTAACGTGTCCTTGGAACTTTGCAGTTCCGCCGCCGCCTGTTGACGGCTAGGTTCAGGGTGCCTAATCCCCTTCCCTAACCGTCCATTTCTCCTTATAAGAAAAGGATCTAAACATCTTCTTTCATAATCCTTTGTTGCGAACTTTATATCTTGCAAACTTCAATGATTACATTTGATAATGGCCTAACGATTACTCATATGTAGATTCATCTAAGGCAGTTACTTCTTTTACTGGTTTACTGAATATAATACTTTCATGGCCTAAGAAATACATTGATTATAGAAAAATAATATTCATTGCTTTATTAAGAATACAGTAATACTCAAGAGATAAAATAATACTCAACATTCTCTACTAACCCTGTTTAGCCACTACATGCAACTGTTTATTCTCTCTCACCTCATACAGGCGATCTAAAAAAAAAAAGAAAAGAAAAGAAAAGAAAAGAAAACTGTGATTGGTCAAAGTCTCCTGTCACAGCTATATTTTTAAAAGCCAGTAAACAGAACCTAGAGGAGGTCTACTTTCCTCTCAAACCACTTGAATTACAAAATGCTGAAAGGTTATTATGGAATTTCTGCACAAAGATGCCAAAAATGACTGTTTACCCAGCTTTAAGGAGCTTTCAAGTAGCTGAAGTCTTCTCAGTACCTTACAGCTCCACACGTATGTCCTCTTTGTTGATGCTGCGAGACATTTACAGTGTGTGAAATATTTCAACTGAAGACTCCAACATCTTTTATTATCGCATCTTTTAATCAAATAGACATAACCAAATGCCTTGTGCGCTACTTAGTTTCCACTCAATTTAAGATCTTTTGCGTCTTTGGGATTTCTACCAGAATATAAAATCAAATTTGTGTAGGTTTAAATAGTGTTTGGCTGCACTGACAGGCTGCACTGCTTCAGTGGTGTAAAATTAAAATGTTCTGCTGCGCATGTCGCGGAGCATTCTCAACTGCTGTCTGTCTTAAAATAAAGACATTTTTTGGTTGTTTTGTTCAGCATTTACTGCTGCTGCATGCATTCACCACATCTGGGTCGCTGAAAGAGCTTTGAACATACCGGAGAGTGAAGCCATCAGAGCCTTGCATATATATTTTATGGGAACGTGGCTGCAGGTCTTTGGCCTCTGGCCCTGGGAGAGATTACTGTGATTGGATTGGCATGGTTAGGAAGTTGGCACGGATCACTTGGCTGGCACAGCAAACTGCCACGGGATGATGGGAAATAAAGACATCACTGAATGCAAATTGCCACAGAGAAGAAGACGGAGAGAGAGAAAGCAGGATGAAGAAAGACTGTGAGGAGGAGGAGGAGTGTTTCCACCCCTCATCCTGATGTTGGCACATCCGAGTCCCACCCTTGTATGGTGTTTTTCGCTCTAAGAATGATGTGCCAGTGTGTCTTTAGATTCAATATTTTGCTAGCTTTTATTCAATGCTGTTGACTTTTTAATTCTTTTAAGGATATTTTGTCCTCGATGACACCATGTGCTGCTTCGATTAATTATATTCTGCACAGCCCTGAACATGAGAGCAGACAGACAGAAAACATCAAGCTGAGGGGTTAGAGGTGAAGCAGGTGAAGGGGCAGAGACGGGGCATTTACAGGGTGTCCTTTCAACAAGCTGATGAGGTTTCTCTGCTGAATAATATCCTTCCTCTGTGCCAGCACTAATGAAATCAGAGCTCTGATTATTTTGACCCTGTCCAAGGGTTATGATTGAGGTTTGTGCTATTTAAATCATATTTATCACCGCCAGAGTTTGCAGCCTTTCAAACACACGCCGTATCAGATTACTGATTGTAGACACGTTGCAACACTCTGCATGATTTTATAGCTGCTTTAGCTATAAAAATGTGGCTGGAGGCTCTCTAGCTATTGAGAACTTTATATACACAAAACAACACAATACAATATCTAATTGTCTCGGGATGTGCTATGACACAGCTACAAACATCTAATTAGTAAGTCTGTCGATAACATTTGTTTGCACTTTTTTCTGTTTATCTGGAAAAGGATCCTTAAACTTACCCAAAGCGAGTTCCGGTGTTGTGTGCACATCCTGTCTACGGGGCTATGACCCGCTGAGGAAGGTAAGGAGCCAGTGATGGGACACTTCAACATCTGATCCATGTGAATTTGAACAGTTCATTGTTTCTCAATGCTTCTGGGTGCGCTGCAGTCTAAATCTGGATTGGGTGTTGACTCATTTAAACCCAAAAGCAGATCATCTTCGCAGTGGTTGGCAGCCTCCTTATCCACAGTCTGTAATGCCAACATCAGGGCAGCTCTGCTGAAGCAATCAAGGATTAAGTGTCTTGCTGAAGGGCACTTTAACTTCAGTTTCTGTGTGAAAGGAGAGCATTGAATCATCTAACTTACCTTAACACACCTGTATTTTTCCAGCAGTGAGTTATTAAAAACCACAAAACCAAGCAATACCAGTAAGACTAAGAGCCTACAGCTGTGCTGTCAACTGTGTGAGGCCAAACCAAAGTGTTGGACAAATGAAAGTTTTGAAATGAAAATTGCTCTAAATGTAAAGGTCAGGGAACACTTGTGTTGTGGCAGTGCATTTTACAAACTGTATATAAAGACAAGCAACATGATGGCTTCATAGAAGTTTGGCCTTACCCAGAAACAAAGAGGCATAATTCTTATTTCAGGCACAACTGTACACTATAAAGCCTTATGTCACTGTCCATAAACAAGCAAATGTTTGAAGCAATCAAAGGAAAAGGGAGAGAAAAGCTACACGGACAGTGAGTCCGTCCACACAGCACAGGTGGAAGAAGCAGCCAAATGCTTTGTGAACCCCACTGACTCGACCTGCACCGTTTGACTTGTCTCTGGTTTCCAAAGTGAAATCCCGCTTGTGTGGCCGCCATGTTCAGAGTGATGATGCTGTTGAGGAGAATCTGGAGGCTCAAGATGTGAACTTCTTTGGTGGAAGGATAGAAAAGCTTAAACTGGGACTATGATGAAAATAATGCAATAAAATGTTACTCCTGTGATTTTTAATTTTTACACGAGGTCCAGAACTTTTTAACGTGT